AGTTTTGCCCCAAATTGCGTAGCTCTAGGTGAAAGTGTAGGTTTGGCATTGAAATAAATGTAGCTTTTGTGACTAGTACACTGAAATCTACAAACCTATCTAGACTCAATTTCTGTACATTCCTACACTGTCTTCATGAAGCACCCTCTGTCATCCCCAAATTTCCCTGATGCCACACCAATGTGAACCCCTCAGTCGAGTAACATTAAATTGCCAGCATTGAATCGTTTAAGGGGAGGTTCTGGTAAAAATCTTGCCATTTTCGAAATGGATCCTACAGTCAAAATTTGTTCGGGATATAAAATTTTTCATTGGGGAGACAAAAATTTGACTTTTGAAGGCACATGCCAGGCTGTAAACCCAGTCGAAGAGTCTTTTTGAGCCTTTTTTGGCTGTATTTTAAAAAAATCTCCTTGCGCATACTATTTTGTCGAAAAAGGTTGCCCTTTGACTTTTTTCACTTCTCGACTCTTTTCAAAAGATTCCGGCATGCATAGCTCAAAACTTCCATTATATTTTTAAATTTATTAGCTTTTAAGCTAAAAAGTCCCTAAAATTTTTTATTTTGTACATTTTTGATCAATTTTAGTGAAAGTTTGGGTAAGAAAGCTTGCGAATAAAAATAAAATTGACATTTTGAGATGGGCATGCCGGCTTTTTTAAAAAATGAAGAAGAAGTAAAAAAGTCTAAGCCAACCTTTACGAAAAAAATAGTATGCGCAAGAAGATTTTTAAAGTTATAGCCTAAATGGGAGAAAAAGGCTCTGCGACTGGGTTCAGGGCATAGAAAATGCCTCCCCAATGAAAAATTTTTAAAAAATACTTGATAAGACATCAAATTTTTAACAAATTTTTACAGTGGGACCCATTTTGGAGAAAATAACATTTTCACCAGAACCTCCCCCTTTAAATTTATTACTCGTATGATTGGGTCACTATTCGATATCTCTTTTTTTTTAAATAAAGAAATTTTCAATTTTTTAAGTAATATCTATGAAACATTTTGTCATTCTTTCATTGTGAACCAGTGAATAAAAAAATATTGATTGGCATACGTTATCACAGTTAATATTAAAAGAGTCAGTTTTGGGTAGGCGATTGAACCAGTTAACGGGGACCAAATTTTTGTCAAATCCAGTGATTCGTCAAAAGAGTCCAATGCCCAAAGGGTACCCAAAGGGTTAATGAACCGACACAATTTTTCTTACTCAGGTATGCAATACTGAGTAGTACCAGTTATATTAACTTTAGTGAAGTGAAAGGAATCGTCTCATAAATCCATTCACTAATTCACTCACCGCTCAAAAACCCGAGTCGTCTCTTTGAACCCAATATCAATTCAAACTCTATTAGGATTAAATATACACAACCATACATTGATTCTATTAATAAACACATGTTAGTACTTTTGCACTCTTGTCAGCTTGCAGCTTTCAATAGAATGTATTTCTCGAGTCCAAACTAAGTATGCCTGCTAATTTCAACACAAGTTATTTGCATTTCCCTGATTTCCTCTACTATGAGAATTTAAAAAAAAAAAAGGATGACACTATAGAAAATGAAACAAATAGATGCCCACAATACAAAAGGTCAAAATAAAAACATTTTTTTTACACTGCTCTGTCAAAGTGCACTGACCCGAAGAAGATTCCCCCCGAAAGGGGGAGGGGGGAGAGGGGAACGAAACACGTAAATCATTTTCACGGCCATTCTCCATATTTCGCTGTGTTGATACCCTAAAAGGGTTTTAATCATTCTAGAATGTGGAAAAACTATGGCCGATTTATTTTCCCAAAACCCCCCTGCTCGTTTTTTGTTTTTTTTGCTTATTTGCTTCTGTCCCGTATTTGAGAGCCGCGGCCGCAGGTATGAGAAATTCGTGAGTGCTGAGTGCTGCCAACCTAACCATGCTAATAACCCGATTCAAAAGTATGTTTTGAATATTTCAAACGATACTAAACAACGATTTGAAACAAACTCGTGTTGGGGGGTACTAAGGTGACGTTAAATACGAAATCTTGAAACTATAGCTACTGTAGTTGCTGAGAATCGTTGGTGAGTACAAAGTCACAGACAGACTCACGACCAGTCACTTTTCAGCGCGCCCAAAAACGGCAAGGGCTTCGCTATCGCTCAGCCAAATATTTATGCTGTGTTGTTTTCACTTTTCTCTTGCTCTGTTTAGCCCTCCACATCTCAACATAATGTACATGAATTGATGCCACTAGTGAAGAGTAGGAAATGGTGTTTGTAAATGTAGCTAAGTCCTAGCGTAATTTAGGTACATTAGCCCTGAGGGAGTAAATGAAACTAATGGTGTCTATTTTTCAATAATTTCAATATTTCAGTTAGTGGGAAATTCTGGTGGTGCTGCAGTGGATGCAGTAGTACAGCCTGTTATACAGTAAACCTTGATGATGAGCAACAAGTAGAGGTAGTGGTGAAACAAGAGGACTCACTGCTTGGAAGGATCAAACTTGAGCAGAATTCACCGCCAGTAAACCTCAGTGAGAAGCCACACGCAGAATCTGATGAAGAATTAGAGGTTTTATATCTTAAGGTAGTCTTCAGTTTAATATTTGTGACTCAATTATAAGTTTATAAACTGGCAGTGTGTCATTTTAAATATTTCTGTTTCAGGTGGACACAGGTGTCAAAAATACTGGCAGTGATGGGGCTTCCGTCCAACGACAGATAAAACAGGAGACTGAAACAGGCTTCCTCTCCAAAGTAAGCAGTAGTATATGCTGTGTATTTTTAGTTTGTTGTTTTAACTGTGAAATTGAGTAGATTTCTGACTATGAGAAAATAGGCGCTTTATTTCCTTTGCCGAATCTTATTTTTTAAATCATTGCAAACATGTTTGTGTGTCGAATACTGCTTTGGCATACACACATGCTTTTCTATGAGTTTCTGTGTCAGCAAGTAGAACCAGAGCATGACTTTGGAAACATTTATTTTTTCGTTCAAAGTGTAAACATAAAAGGGACACGCTGATTTGTTTTAGCCATAGCTATACCAAAGCTATCTTTTCCCTTGTTTTTCCCTTGTCTTTCCCCTGCAGTCCGTTTTACATCTCAACCAGTTTCAATTCATCCAATCGAGTTTATAAGAACCGGAAATAGATGCAACGAGGCAACACAGACCTCAGGGGCGCAAAAATAACAAAATTTGTCGAAATAGGAATAATTTTCCAATAAAATTTATGAAAAGAAAAACCTTTGAGGCCAAAAAAAGTCGAATGGCCGACCTCGCTACAGCGTTGCGACCATAAAAGAAGTTGTAGGCCTTGTCTTTAGCTTTCAGAATCTATTGCGAAAAGTTGCAGAATCGAAAAAATGTCGGTTTTACGGGCAAAAAACGGATAAAAAATGGCAGATTAACGTACAACATTTTTACCTTTTTCGCGATGTTTAACTCTACATGCCTAGCTATTACTAGGAAATCATTTCTTTTACTAGATAACATTAAAACATGACCATGTGCCGTGAAAAAAGCTGACAGATCGGAAAATAATTCTATGTCGCATTTTTTGGGGCGTTTCGCGCCACTGTGGAGTGATTGTGCGAGTCCTTTCTCAAGGCACTGTTTTGGAGTGGCAGTATGTTCGACCTAAACAACGCAGGCTTGGTGTGTTGTTAGACCACCATTCTTTTCATTGAGACAGCGGCTTCTTAGCGTACTTCACAAAGACCTTCAACGCTCCTAGTGTTTGCTTTGAAGTGGCAAGGATGCTGGATGGCGGCACGGCGAACCCTTGTTGCTTGTCGGGCCCTCCTGCCGGCAGCTCCATGCAGAACGACTGTGCCACTCCTGCCACGCCGCGCACCCAGTCGGACACCGTGCCTGTCGCGGGATCTGCACAATCCCCGAACAGCCGAAATTATGACATGCATTTTGTAGCGCACCATCGTGACGTGACTTGAACTACCAGCGCAGGAGGACAATAGAAAAGGCGGTTTTAAGAAGCATACTCACAGTCGGCTGCCATTGTTTCGATTTTGTCGGATTTGGCACCGCCAGCGACCAGGCGTTGTTCACTTTTTTGGCGATTGTCGTCTGAATCACACAAATCACGGGTGTGTCAATAGTAGTGTCTTGATGCCTTCGACAGGCACTAAAAAACTCTACCGTACCAATGGCGCCGCATCTGGCAGCTTTGGAGCCGTCGCAGAGAAACCCCCACGGAAGGTAGATCGACTGGGCATCAACAGAACAGTGCACGCGGTAAAGATTGCTTCCGTCTCAAATAGCACACAAATATTGACGTACTAACCTGCTCCGGATTGTGAATGTTGACGTACATCTTGACTCTCTTTCCTGCGTTCAGGTTGCGGATGAAGGTCTGGTAACTTACTGTCTCTGGCTCGGACGCAGCTTTCGGACCAGCATACGTCAGCTCGCATGGGTCACTGCTTGCCCCTTTGTTTGACCTGAAGTCTGCAAAATTTACGGAGTGATGACTACGACTGCCTTAGTTTGCGGCGGAGCACACTCTAAAAGTGTAACGGTAAAAGGCTGCCCACCAAATTATGATGGAGATTGCCTCCATAAATCGACAGAAATTAGAAAGAATATCTTTACACGCTTAAGGGGGGACCCTGGTGAAAAAATAGGCAAAAATCGACATTTTTTCAAAAATGTTTTTTTGATCTCTAAAAATAGTTTGATTCTTCCTCTTTCAGATGCAAGTTCGTTTTTGTCCATATCTTGAATACTTTCCGAGATACAGCGATTTTAAGATAACCCTGCACATTCACTTTTAAGAAAAAATGCATGAAAAGTAGAAATATTTCGACTGGACTTCCCTGATGCGTCCCTTGTTCAAATTTCGCGCTCTCTGTAACTGCCTGGCCAGCCTGCTTGGCTCCCGGCACTGCCAACCTCCCTCAGCTCGTGTGTAAACAAAGGCACTGCCGAATAGGTTAAGTTTTCTATCGGATGGCGTGCATTGCGTTTCTACTCTAGGCGCAAGTTCTAAGTGAAAATTTCGGAGAGCTATGGACCCACTCACTAGAAAATGGAGGCTAAAGTCAAAAGGGCGATCAAATTCTGTCGGTGCTAAATCTAAATCATCCAATCTCGCAAAAGGAAGGGAAAAGAGACATGAACCATTGCCACAAGCCACAGCTTCAGATGCAGGTAAATCGAGCAACAGCAATGACAACCACTTTCATTTCAACCAATAGTCGTTTCCCCAACCCTTCTTGCTTTCCATGAGTATAACAGTGATGTTATTGTTTTCAGAAACGCCAAAAACATCTGCACCACACCTTGAGAAGGAATCTGACTACCCTGACAGTACAACAAAGAGAAAATTTAATCTAGTAGCAGATATTTTAAGAGAGAAAGAAAGTGTTGGAGTAATTTCGAATGATACTGAAAATAATTTGGAGAGGTCATTTAGTATGGAAAGTGATATTCAAGATTCAGGTGACTTTATGGTTGTCCACAAATCATTTTGGGCAAGCTTTGTGAAAAACCTGCTTTGCAGTGCATGCCAAGCTAAGGATCTGACAGTTAAAATGGTAGAAGAACATGGCTTTGTCAAGAAAATGATTGTGAGGTGCAAGTCATGCGGTGGAATCCTGTCCAGCCTCTATACAAGTCCACGCATCAAGGATTCCACCAGCAAACGGCCCCCATTCTCATTGAATAGAAAAATGTGTGATGCATTTGTCAGCATTGGTGCAGGTAAGACATTTTTATTAGTTAATAATGTAACTATCAGTGACAATCATGATTTTAATGTCGTCATTTAAATTCTTTTAGGGTATGCATCAATGGAAAAGTTTGGAATAACACTCCAAATGAATATTATTAATCCAGAAGTGTATCGGGATCATCTCAACCAACTAATTCTGGAGAATCAAAGCCTGCGGCAACAAACCCTGTCTCTTGCTCGAGAAGCTGTCAGGAGGGCCCACATTGAAGTCGATCCCAGTTTGGCGGATCAAGATGTGATAGATATTCCAGTGTCCTTTGATGGCTCCTGGCCCAAGAGAGGCCACACTTCATTAGTTGGTTTTGGAGCAGTTGTTGATATTCTTACTGGTTTAGTGGTTGACTTTGAACTTGTTTCCAAATTTTGCCATATGTGTTCCATTCGTGCAGATGAATTTGGAGACACAGAAACATTTCAAGCTTGGAAAAAACGGCATGAAGATCTTGGAGAGTGCAACATTAATTTTGAAGGGTCATCCAATAGCATGGAAAAGGAAGTGGGTCTCAAATTGTGGAAACGATCAGTGCAAGAATGCAAAATGAGATACACTGTTATGCTGAGTGATGGTGATGCAAGTACTTATGATTTTTTAGTGGCAGAGAATATTTATGATGGAATTGAAATTGTCAAAGAAGAGTGTACAAACCATGTTGAAAAGAGACTGGGCACTGGATTAAGAAACCTCGTTCAAGTTGAGAAATCCAGGGGAGTGACCTTGGGAGGCAGGGGTGAGGACACCCTCAAGGTAGACAATATTAATAAGTTGCAAAATTATTACCGCCTAGCAATTCAGAAAAATGCCCCTGATGTTGCTGCTATGAGGAATGCAATCCTCGCCACAATATACCATGCAAACTCAACGGTCAGCAAGCCCAAACATCAGTACAGTACCAACTCGATCGCTGTCGCGCGACAGCGATAGTGAGAGCAGTTCGTTCGCTGCTACTAGCCCCGGCAGCGCTGGCGAGCGCCACAGCGCTCCGGCCGGCTGAGGCAGGCTGGCAGCAGCTGGACTGTCCCCCCACCCCTCCCCACCTGCTAGGCGTCTGCTAGGCGTCTGCCGTCTGCAGTCTCTGCGCGCGCGGTGTATTGCTATTCCAATCAGTGTGTGTGTCGGGGCGGAGAGTGAGGGAGGCGTAATAAAATCGACGGAAACTCGTAGATTAACATATTTATCAGGTATGACTGACTAGAGGGTCAAAATAAAAAAAAATAGTCTAGCTGACAAGATGGTCCAAATATAAACAAAATCTAACATAAATAAAATATTTAACGTAAAACAAAAATAAAATTAAAGAAAATTTAAGGAACAAAAATAAGGAAAATAATAGTTTATGCGTATTTGGCGATGAACTGTTGCGCCTCTCCCAGAGCAGCCAAGATGTGGTCAGGGAGAGCCTCATCATCCTGCCTGCTCCACCGTAGGAAGGCGTCAAGGCCATTCTTTGCCTCCTGAAGAGTGACGACTGTCTGCTCATTCGTGTTGCCGTCACCGGCGCTTTTCGCCCTGATCTCCTGTACAATTTCGTCATCAGACAGTGTCCCGTGTCCAGGGTCGTACCTGTAACAAAAAAAATAGTGAGCCCCGCGAAATTATGAAAAAGGGTTGCCATTTAAAAAAAAATACCTGTCAACCCCGAGCCACTCGTCCATGCCGGTCCTGCCTATGTCGGCCCGCTCACAGGCAGGGTGGTTTTAGCACCACTTCGAGCAGGTCGCCCGGGGATTGGGTCGGAGGCACGTCCTTTTCCCCCAAACCTCTCCGAACAGGGCCCCTTCCAGGCTCGGGCATAGCAGTTCGCACCGACGCTGCGCCACGCTTGATAAAAAAAATGGACGGCCTTGATCAAAGTAATGCCTTTGATGCGTTCCGCTACATCCTCTGGAGCCTGTCCGATTAGCAGGTACTCAAGCAAATATTTCCTGCAACCACAGAACAACAAATATTAAAAATGCCAAAGATAAAATTTTAAACCAAGTATTTGCAAAATAATATTTTTTCAGAATTTACCTGTACCACCTTTTGGTGTTCTCTATTGGGCCCTGGTCCATAGGCTGTAGAATAGAGGTAACATTTGGGGGTAGAAACTTTATCTCAAAGTTCGGTTCCAAATCAAAGGAACTTTCAGGTGGATGGGACGAGCAATTGTCTACCAGTAGAAGGACTGGGCCAACAATGCCGTCCTCTTCCTGTCGCCGCTTCACTTCTGGCACAAAAATTTCTTTTACCCACTGTTTGAAAATGATCATGTTCATCCATGCTTTGGCTTGGTTTGTGTAGGCTACAGGCAAGGGCCTACTTTCCTTGAAACCGTGAGGGTTTTTTGCCGTGCCAATAATTAGAGGAGTTATTTTATGTGAGCCGGTGGCGTTGCCGGCCATCATTGCTGTGACTCGCTCCCTTGGGACTTTTCTTCCCTTAGCCATGCGCTCTGTGGAGACTGACAGCGTCTTTGACGGCAAACACTTCCACCATAAACCTAAAAAAAAAACGTTAACGCTAACGCTAACGTGAAAGCAGATGATACTTAAGAGAATGTTTATTGAAATGTATGAATGTGACATTTTGTCAATTTCTTTCAAAGAGTAAACACTCGGAACTCTTTTTTTGACAATTTCTTTACACAGGTAATTCATGAAAATGTCAATTTTAGTATAACTTTTGAATATCCTAACGTGCCATGTTTGTGTGTTAAACATGTTCGCAATGACGGTGGGACACTCATGTCCGATACCATTGTGGTTGGGTATCATTTTCGTGTGTTTCAACGCGAGGATGCACAATTTGGTGGCTAATCACATAAATACTCAATACCGTAAAAGTTGTGTTCGGTACTAGGCCAAGGCGCCTTGCGGCACGCGGCGTGTCAGCCACATCTCCAAGCGGGGCCGGCCGGCCGGCGCGCCACCCGAACCCGACCTCAAGATAGATAAGCAAGAGTGGTGCACACAGCCGACTGCCGGCGCGCTGCTTCTCGAGAGGGGCAGGGGTTCGAGGGGGCGCTGCACTATGCGTTCTACGCACTCAAGGTTCAAGTGTGTGTGTGTGTGTGTGTGTGTGTGTGTGTGTGTGTGTGTGTGGTGGTGTGTGTGTGTGTGGTGGTGTGGACAGTTGCGGGGTGTGGCGGGGCGCGGCGGGACGTGGCGTCTCGGCAGAGGAAGAGGCGCGGGGGGCAGCTGCGGGATGCGCAGCAGCGTCTCGTGACGAGAGGAAGGGGAGCGGCACCGCGCAACGTGAGGGAGGCACTTCATGAGTACTAGATAGCTGGGTTTATACGCCCGAGGTTATACGCCGCGCGCGCAACCTGAGCCCCCGCAGGCGCCCCGATTCATGGTGCGGCGCGCGGCGCGGCGCGGCGCGGCAGACTGCGGGCCCTCCGCTCATAATCTTCTAGGCAGGCCAGCCAGCCGCTGCCTTGCCAGCGAGGCGCTCGGCCTCTTCTAGGCTTGCTAGTCAGGCAACGAGGCAACTGCTGCCTGGCTAGCCGGAAACTCGGTACTCTCTGCACGAGAGTACAAGCACGCTGATACGTGAACGTATCATCTGCTAAAAACGAAATATTTCCATTTACTTAGTGAATGATGCGTCCATACCCCCCGCGCTGAGAGAATACCCCGCGCCGCGCGACTTCCCCGCAGCCGGGAGAGGCGAGCGGGGGAGGGGCGAGCGGGGGAGGGGCGAGCGGGGGAGGGGAATGAAAACAATGTTTACTCTCACCTGTTTCATCGGCGTTGTAGATGTTTGCGTACTCGTAGCCGTTTTCTTCAATCATATCTTGCAGTTCTTTGGGATATGATGAAGCAGCTGCCGTATCAGCTGACAGTTGTTCCCCTTGCACACCCAAAAATTTTATTCCATATCTATTTTTGAAATTTGTTAGCCACCCGCCACTAGCATTAAACTCCTTGCCATCGTTCAGATTTTCGTGGAATTTTTTGGCTTGGGCTTGCAGAATTGGACCACTTACAGGGACGCCCTGTTCCCTCAACTGGACAAACCAAATGTACAATGCCGATTCTGTGTCTTCGTGCAGGCCATCCCGGGCTGTCTTCCGCTTTTTCAGACTGTTACCTCGAGCGCGTAGTCTCTCGGCTTCCTCCTCAATTTTTACCTTCTCCTTCCAACATCTTTGAATCGATCTCTGAGAAACGCCATACTTCACTGCCAGTGCAGCAGAATTCCGATCAGGATCATTTAGAATGGCCAACTTTTCTTCAAAACTGAGAAATTTCTGCCTTTTTGGAGCGGGGGCTGACATGGTGCGCGAGCGAAAAAACACGTTTATTTTGATTTGGTTTGTTTGCGATGCGCCGGGCAGACGAGCTGTCACCCAGCAGCCGATGAACGCCGGGGCAAGGGGGGCGGGGAGAGGGCATGGCTAGGCTCGGCCCGGCCGCTGGCTGGCCGGCAAGCGTGCGTCGGCGCTGCCGGCAGCTCGGGCCGGCAAGCGGAGCGGGCTAGCGCCGAATCCTATGTCTGTCTCTCTCGCACACGACAGCGATCGAGGCGACAGCGATCGAGTTGGTACTGTACTGCCCAAAAGGTGAAGACAGTTGGTGCTTTTATCAGCAAGCCAAAGCACTCAAGAAGAAACCTCCAGCCCCTTCATCTAGGACTTTGACCATCAGCGACAAGGTGTTTGCCAAAATACTTCCTATTTATAGGCGACTCTCTACCAATGAGTTACTTGAACGGTGCACTCGACTGGGGACTCAAAACAGTAATGAGTGCTTGCATTCTGTCATTTGGAGGAAGTGTCCCAAAACTATGTTTTTCTCATTGAGAAGGTTCCAGATGGGTGCCACAATGGGAGTGGGGGAGTTCAACATGGGAGTTGAAATTATGCTGCAACTTAAAGCATCTTTCAACCAGGAAAAAGTGAGCAAGGCAGCTGAACTGATTGCTCGCAGACAAGATGGAAAAAGGAAGAGGAAGAGTAGCTGCCAGAGTGAAACAACATCCAAGAAAGCCCGCAAGAAGGACACAAAGAGAAAGAAGTCAAAAGAAGCAGCTTTGAAGAGAAGAGAGGGGCCAACTTATTCAGCAGGGAACTTTTGATATTGTAATTTATAGCTAAATTTGCCATCTGGAACCTTGAATACTTAATATACTTGAGGCAAATATTATTTTGTAATGAATATGATCATATGACAGTGAATTATAGAGAAACTAAGCATATGACTGCCAATTTTATTGCTGGAACAATCAAAATCAGCGTCTCAAACTTTGACCTCCGTTATCTCAGAACTATTTTTTTTCTCGGTCTAGAACCTTCCTGCGTCTTTCAGGTTCACCAATCAATGCCCCGTCAATTGCAATCTGTTCCTTGATGTCTTGTCTACAAATTTTAGTGACGGAATCTTGATATCAGCCCTACTTTTTTTTCCACACACCTAAAAGTTTAAAAAAAAGGCAAAAAAATCACTTTTTTTAAATGTTAAAATTTGAAAATTCATATCTCAGGACAGAAGTTGAAATTGAAAATTCCGTCACTAAAATCTCTTCTATACATCTTTAGGATAACCCAAAAAATTTTTTTCAAGACTTTCCGTCCCAATGAAAGACGCAGGAAGATTTTTCCCCAACGCTCTAAAAAACACTAAAAAGCCACTTTTCTCAGAGACCGTTCAACATTTTGGACTGAATTTTGTTTTGGGAACTCACCATGATAGACCTAATAATTAACCAAAGTTTCAACTTCCTGGGATTATTTGAAAGCCTACTTGATAGTTTCACCAGGGTCCCCCCTTAAAACCTTCCAAAGTATTTTGGGCCTACATAACACAAACTAATTTACTTTGTTACGCGAAGTACTAGATCGTAAACTACGAAGTATTTTCTTTGTGCATTGTGCCCTGTTTACGTGGCCTGTTCTGTCATTTTCCAACTCACCAGCCCAATGGTAGTCGAAATTACGGTTA